CAACAATAATTAATTATCTTGGACGTTTGCTTTAAGCTGACGACAACGATAGCAACAGTAACAGCAGCCGTGCTGCGTACGTTTTGTCGTCGTTTGAATTCTATCACTGACGATGACGACAAATAGCGGGACGACGGCCCGTCACGGCGTTTCGCTTTGACTCTGATGTATACGATACGGAGCCCGTACGTACGTACGTACGTACGTACGACCGTCCACTGGCTAATATATCACCAAGCAACTCTTCGTCCATTTTGCTGCCTCTGTTCTCTCTCGACTCTCCTTGGACCATCGACGCGACTCAGATACGCGCAAACAGGCTATGCGACGTCATTATTCTTCCAAACGAAGCATGGAGCGCACCGCTTTATTGGCGTCATCGCTGTTGCCATCGATTGCCACCGTCGTACCAACATCTCACGATGCCTGGCTAGTGAGTGCCACTAGATGTCGCCGCTGTTGCATAGGGAACACATCGTATCCAGTCGGACTAAAAAAGGAACGAAGACTCAAAGGCAAGGCCGAGATGGCTCTTCTCGCACGAAGCACCGATTAGAACGGGGAGAGCGACTCCACCATCATCATCATCATCATCATCAGCATCAGCAGCAACAACAATAACAATAATGATGATGATAATGATCGTATGTGCGAACGTGGTCTGCGCGGATGACGGTTTATACGGTTACGTTGCAGTCGCTTTTATTCCTGCTGGTGCCGTCGGCCCGCTTGTGCAGGCGATTCTGCTGCGACTCGTTTTTTGCCACTAGTCGTCCAGCAGTCGCGGCAGAATTTCTTGTCTAGCGCTCGCGTTCGCGCTCCGACCAGAGACTGTCCCGATGAATCCATCGAAGTTGATTTTTCATAATAGACCCTAATGACGTTAATTGATAGGTGTACCTGTTGTAATAGTCGCCGTTGTTAATTCTCCTGGGATCGCTGTGGCTAGCGACGGCCGATGGCATCGATCGGTCCGGCAGCGGCGATGTATGCCGACCACGTAAATGGTGATCGCAGCGTAACAGACTAAAACAACGTATGTCGTTGCTGTGACTGCTACGTCGTCGTCATAGTGACTCCCATTTGGTAGGTTGATCGTGTAGAGTGAAGTCGCTTGCCTTCGTCAGTCTTCAACCATTAGTTACTGATGGTGCCGCTACTATGTTAACCTCGTACACGCGTAGTGAACGTATGGAACATTTCATCCAAGCGTTTTCAATGAGTTCAACGAAAAACGAACGGCGATGGTAAAGAAAATATTGGGAAAAATCCACTCTCCAGATGGGGTCAGATAGGGGACCAGATCATATGATTTGAACGTAGATATCGGACGTTGAGGCGTGCACTTGAAGGGTAATGCTTAGAGGTTGAGACCAAATAGCGAATGGAAGCGGCTCAACATGTATCTTTCCATACACTCAGTATACTCATTAGGTGCAAGGCCCTGTTAGTAGAACGGACAGAAGATCCGAAATCGAGGACCAAACAATCTTTATTGACGAAAGGTTTTCGTAATGGAACAGCGAGTCCGATTGTCGGCTATGCAGAAAAAAGTGCTTGTTAACCAGGGAATGTGCCATATACGTTGGAGATAATATTAATATGGTCTTCAGGCTATTTTTGTTGGTTGTACTGTTTGTCCGTACAGAATTGTCGCCTATAGGTCAGCTGTGCACTGTCGATAGCAACTCTCAGGAAGAACTGCGAAGAATAAGGGTCATGTGTGTTCATATAATGAAGGCGTTACCAAATTATCTTTATCCGTTAGTAAGTCAATCTAGCTCAGACATGCTACCAGCTCCGAACGGCCTAGTTTGAAAACGATGTCTTTCATTGCTCCTTTATCTATATTGGACAGGGACGCTCCATCGTGAATCGCATCGGGGGGCTAACAGAGCGACGTCAATAGTACCTGCCCTGTTAGCGAAACATGTTTTCCGACGAGCAGAATGTTTATTAGAAAAGCAACAAGAGCTCAACTTAGCTTAATTCCACGTTTTGGTATCTTTTCACTTACCAAATTTCGAACAAACGCGACAAGTTCCAGCCGAAAGCACTGGAAATATATGACCATGACGCCGGACACCAGGCACTTGCCTTTGCAAACTGGTCATTACCGTTATCGTTGTTGCTGCTGCTGTTGCTGCTATTACGATCATACGCCATTAAAATATTTTTGGAGACTAAAAAAGGATTCGTAGTCTTGAAGAAGTCGCGTTTGCCTATTGACCACTTTTATTCAACTATATTTAATAATAAAGTTATATTAAATCTGCCGCAGTGTATCCTCCTGTCTGAAGCCGCTTAGGTTTGCTTTGGACTTGGTTGTCAGGCGATTTCGTTGGCACGGTCTTTGTTTGTTTGTTTGTTTGTTTGCAGAAGTGTAGAGCTCAATGGTTTAAATTTCATACGTTTGAGAAAATATTTGGCCCTATGGAAGACCATCGCCAATTTGGCTGTTACAAAAGGAATTACCCAAGCAATAGTTCTTTGTGCTCGTTCTTGTGAAGTGTTCTTAAGAAATAGTTCTTAAGAAGCACTGAACTTTGCCGACCCTTCCAACAGGTGTCCAAGATTATGACCAAATGATTTGCCTTTTTTTTTTGTCATTTTTAATTTTGTGGTCCTGTGTAATTAATTGTTTACCGAAGAAAAATAAACAAATGCTTTTCGTCTAAACTGCCAAATGTTAATCAGTCTCCTATAGAGTTATCTAGCCTTGTTATTACCTAGGATATGCGAAGATGCAACTTTCTCTATAACAAGTTCAAAACCAATACTAAATTAATATATCTACCATACAAGGCGGAATCATAAACGTAATGCTGCAGGTACTATTGTCGTATGCCTGCCCCAACTCGGGTCAACGATTCGAGTGTTAGTAACAATTGTTATGAGTAGATATATCAGTAAATATTATCTATCTCAAATATTATCTATCTCAAATAGGTAAATTTGGCCCAGTGTTTCTTGAGTGACTTATTATATTGAAGGTTAATAGCAGATTATTATATAATAGGTTAATAGAGTGAGCTAATGAAAAAAATTGTTTGAATTAGACATCTGATACTTGGCATTGCTTCGAAATGCTGCTGGCAAAAGACAATGCACGTCTATGCCCGAATCCGAAGCTGCAGCACCTAATATTCTCACATTGCCAATGCACTACCGTGGAGTTAATAGTGGCACTTCCCTTATACATAGAAGAAAGCAGACTCATTTAGGCTGTACACTCACAAATCGTCCAGGTCTATTTCGAAAATCTGCTGTCGATTATTTTCTCTGTTGTTTTTCTTAAGAGCAACTCGCTAGTTGGAAGAAAAATTCAGTCAAAATGATTAAAAAACATAAAAACTTACTGTGCACCATGTTGAGAAAGATGGGTCGACGGCAAACGATAAAGGTAAACATTTTTGATCTCTGTTATTGATCCGTTAGGTAAAAACATTAAAAAGTCTATAGATCAGATTGCTAATATTAAGATTATACCTACTGTTCAATGACCGTTACTTATTAGGCTGCAAGACAATTACTCGCATTTATTTATCTCTTTAATATAACATTTCAACAATCGTATCGTTTTTATATACTGTAGGACAGGATAACTGGTACTTATGGGTTTTACTGGGCTGTACATGTGGCGTAAATTGCACCCACCATTGTCTAAGGGTGAGATTCCCATCTTCTAAGGCACATTGTAATACTTTACTTGAGGTGACTGCCTATTTACCGAGGGTACAAGCTAAGCTTCAAATGAACGTACAGTTTAAACCTTACCCACTACGGGCCCTTTTGAATAAAAGCTACATCGTCATCTCTTAGAAACTATAGCATGTTGTAATACAATAGGTACATTTAACTCTGTTCAAGCATCTGCTCACTGTAATGATGGATTGACCTTTTTATGTTCTGTATGTACGCTGATCGCCGCCTTTTTCATTCTCTGAGCGAAAAAGTCTGTGGGGTCACTTTTTCGTAGGGCTTCAAAGATTAGCCGGAAGAACCTGACTTGACTTAACTGGGGTTTCTCCAATAGACCTACTTATGAGGAAGCTAAGCAGCCATATCAACAACTTCTGTAGTCATACTTTACCGTTTTCCTTTTTTCCAAGGTCTTCGTTATCATCTATCAAGGTTGAATACGAAATTAGTAAAGACGTGGGTTTTTCATGGTTACTATAATGACGCGTTTAAATATCTGTCCGTTATCCACGCCATTCTCAATTTCAATCGGCTACGATAATATTAAACATCTTTCTTTTCCTTCGTATTTTCATTCTGGGCCCTATAGGTCCCATTTTACATTTACCTTTATCCGACATTTTCTACCGTCAAAATTCGCTTTTGATAAGAAGACACTGGAAAAAGCAATAGCGGAGATAGCACGCACCCGATCGCTACTCCCTACTAGTCATCGGGCCAAACCGTCTATTAGGAAACGAGCCGAATCACAGATCCTTGCTGTATGATGCTCACTACTAGAAAATATCTTCAAAGAAGCTAAATCAAAAAAGTTAGCTGATAGAGCGGAATCCCAGTTTACGGTTTCGGCTGGACCTAGATAGTCTTACCGCCTACCTGTACACCGTGTAGGACGTTACCGCCTCGATCCGCCCAGAGGGCTTCAACGCATCGTCTACTTCAGCTAGCAAGCCTTGCTTAAGTTGACGTTGCCTTTTGCATCGATCGCTAAACCATCCTTGTTCCTTGTTTCTTAACTTTCTGCCCTTCGAGTCCTGCTATAGCCGTCGGCCTCCCCTGATTTACTACATTGCTTCTTCTGCTGCTTTGTGCTGTAGCTGTAATAGGAGGCAAAAAAAGGAAAAACTATCTCCTGCTATTTGCCGATGTATTGCCCCTGTTTCACTCTTGCGTTGCTTCATCTCCAATAGCGTTTCTTTCCCCGTTCAATACGCGCGCTATTTCTCCAGCAATGTGTCTCCTGTTCAGAGCACCTTCTCCTCCTGAATCTATCCTTCTCTTTCTTTCTTCCTGGCGTCCTCCCTATGCCCTCGATGGCTCCACATTGCCCCCTGCTTCACCGCACTCGAGTCGGACACACTCCACTCGCTGTGTTCCCCGCCACCCGGTTTTCCCGGCTCGACCTTTCCAGTGGCAGTAATGGGTAACTCCGAGTCAGGCGAGGGCATCTTCTCCAGCAGCAGCCATCTTACCAGCAATCGCCTCGCCTCCTTTAGCATCCGAGCAAGCAGCAGCCACCAATATTATCAGAGAAACCAGCGCGTCGAAACGAATCCCTTTTCCTCGTTTCCTGTGCTGCTCTGTCCGTCAATTCGTCTAAGTTTCTCGCAGAGCTTCTATCCAGAGATGGCAACAACAGCGGCGGGGTCTTCGGCTGCAGTCACTCGGACACTTCCCACCTCTACCGGCGCCGCATGAGATGTGCACCAAGAGCTGTCCGACTCTTCGTTTGCGTATGGAGAGCACTCCGCCATTTGTCCGTGTGTGTGTGCGCGCGCGTATGTGTGAGTATGTGTGTATGTGTCTGTGTGTGTCTGACTGTCTGCCCGTCTGCTTCTCTGTCTATAACTGGCTGTATTTTCGTTGCCTGTCCCTCGGCCGTGGTCGAGCGGCCTGCCGGTCTACGGGTTCTGTCTTTGTGGATGTCATGCTATCCCATACGGTGTGCGTATGTGCGAGACTTCCCTGTGTCGTCCACGGCCGAGCGCGACGAGTGCGCTCGCCGGGTGCCGCGCGCTCCTGCCACGACCATTTCGATGATCAGCGGCAGCTGTGGCAGCACCGCCACCGCTTCTCCGCTACCAGCAGCAACGCAGCGCACTTTCATCACAGCCATGACAAGCAGACCATCGGTGGTTGTTTGCTTCATAGACTCATACCGTCGGCCATCGCCGTTGCTGATCACTAGCCGGGTATCGAGCGGCGGGCCCGCCTCCCCGAGGGGCGTTACCGTCCCCGCGCCACCGCCGCTCGCAGCGCTCCTGGCGGCCGTCGTGCCAACTATTCGTGGGCAGCGATAGTAGCAGACCAGGCGCCGGGCGGTGGAAGCCGCCGGGGAACAGCACAACATGGGACAGTGCCTTCGCTGAGCCGCGTCAGTGCGAAGTGGCCACATATGAAAACAAATAACACCGCAGAATAGATCACCTACGAACACTCATACGACTGCTAGCCGACTAGTACGGTTATTGCGACCAATATTTTCAAACTGTAGATTTGAAGAGGAGCGAACTAGAAAAGCCGGCGGCGAGAAGATAACACAGCCACGACGGATGGACAACGCGGACCACTAGTACAACTAGCAACTTAATAGCACAGCAAGGAACATCAACATTATGGCGATAAAGACAACAGGAAAGGACGATGACGCTTAGTTAAAGTAGGACCCACAATTGAGCTGCTGGAAACTTACTAACCAACGAAATCCTGCTTGTGTCGACTAGCGAGGCCTGACACTTAGTGAGGAAGAGACCTGAGGAGGATTAGCCCGCTAACCCGCAGCCTCTTGAATAAAAGAACTTCTAAAAAAGCTCATTGCAACGCTACGATTACGGGAGTCTGACTTCGCTTCTGTTTTTTCCATGTGTCTTTCTGTTTGTGTAGGCTTCGTGAGGGCCGCTGCCGAATGGTGGACTTCAACTGAAGCGTGAGTGCGCGAAATGCCGCGTGGTATAGTTTCGACCAACAGTTTGCCGAATATAAGGCAAGTGTAGTTGAGTTTGTATTAGTTCAAAGCAGAAAAAAAGTAAGCCATGGTGCGCTACTTAAGAAAAACTGACGTGAGTGTAGGAACAATATGAACTGTGCGGCAAGTCGAAATCGCCAAAGTGGTAAATTGGCAAAAAGGAACGTCAGCAAAAAGGAGAACGGCACAAAGACAATAGGAGCTCAGTAACTTCCTTTCGAGGTCTTGCATTTTAACAGGTGGAGGTCATACTTCATATTTTCAAGTGTTGCTCTGAGTTTTTGCTTCGAAGCTGCAAACGAAAACGAGGCGAAGTGCACGGAAAGAGAGTGGGAAAAAAATACAGTTGGCTACCGTAAGGTAAGGCCGTTTGTACCCGTTTGGAGCTCTCCTGGACACCGGGGGGGTCACGCAGGCTATTCATGTACGTGAGGTAATTATCATTGTCGAACTGACGAATAAGGCAACGCGGTACAGAATAAGCTTGGATCAACTCTAGCACGGCGGTGTACCAGGAACCTAAGTGGCGGCGCTAAGCGAGTTTATTAGGGAACGAATCTGTGAAGAGCCCAAGTCTAGGGTACGTATATGTACATATCTATAGAAAAACAAAGGTTTTTAGTAATAGATTGAGCCTGGCCAGTTAGCAACTAGAAGCTGTGCGGCAGGCGAAGAAGTTATCTAGAGAGTAGCCTACAGCCAACGGCTCAACTTGAATTCAATGAACAAGTTGCTAACTTGTCGCCCGACACCGCTCGCCATCTTCGTCATTTTTTTTTTCCATTAATGTGAACTGGATTACTACGGTGTAGCGTACGTTACTCAAACAAACTGCGGTAGTGAGTGGCAAGTGATTGTAAGGAAAGAATTACATGACACAGTGAGTGATCGGGTTCAGGGCTGAGTTCGCGCTGGGTGCGGTGAGTGGCCTATCAGTCAGGCAGTAATCAGGCTAAGCGGAAATTGCCGTTGTGGGGGTGGTGTTGGTGATGTGACAGGGGTCTGGCGTCCTGGCATGAGCCTGGAAGACGCAAAGGGGCCGCGTACCGCCGGCCAGGAGAGCTCAGCGTTCAGAGACAACAGCGCGACAAGTTCAGCGCCAAACAACTGTAGCAGAATTAGTCGCAGCAGCAACAACAGCAGCAGCTCGAAGAAGCGCGAACCTCAGTTCGGCTATAACCCGTTTCGAGCGAAAGGATAAACCTAAAAGGTGAGTGTAAAGCGACCCAACTAAGTAAGGCTAGGAAAATTACCAGTGAAGCAATGAAGAGCACAATAATGAAGGGCTGTATTGTGTTCATCGTTTGCTAATTTCGAAGCATTTGGCGCTGGTGTCATTGCTGATGCGTGACAAAAACGAGCAAACAGGCCGAAGCTTCCGAGTTGTCAAGTATGTCAAATGTGAATTAGGAACCGGTCAAATCGGATAGCTACTCTAAACCATGTCCACCACTCAAATGCGTTTTTTAAGTTGTAGTTGATTTAATTGTTCGTGACGTAATACTGAGCTGTGTCTCTCGGTTTCAATTAACGCAGAGTATTTATTTTAGACTTATTGTCAAGTTGTAAATGAATGTGTATCTAATTAATCCTTTGATTCAAGTAAACCGATTCAATTTGCCTAAGGGGCCTTAACCTGCTAGAGACACATTTTGGTTTGCCAGCATCCTCCGTACATTCACAATAACATTTCCTAGGAGTCCTCGAACAATATATCGAACGAGCGTGAGGAGTCGAACCCTGCTTCACCAGTCCTTATTCATTAGCTGTCCTTTTTAGCTAGCAATCATCGTGTGCTATTACACACATCAGGCGCACGCTGGCATCTACCTTTTAAAGTATTTATTTATTAAGTAAGGAACGTTTATGTCCAACAACGGTTTAGCGCAGACGCACTCGGTAGTACCTACCCGTGTTCCGCAAGCAAATTAGAAGGTAACCTGGCAAGATGGTTATTAAAAAAGCAGTGGGTCAGGCCACACGAAAATATGCATCTATACGATGAACGTGTGTAATATAAAAAAACATCGCTTTAAAGATTGGTAAGGACAAATACCTCTACACCAGCACTCTGGCAGGACCTGGCACAAGAACGGATTATTGTAGTCATAGATTTTCCTCGGCTTGTCGCTCAGATTTTCACTGGTGGAAAGAAACGTCTCCGTGCTCAGATTTGAGTCTGAACTGTTTCAGAATTAGTAAGCGAACACGTTACCACAACTTTATACGCTCAAATGTACAGATATCGTATTTTTTGTGTGAAAACTATCTGCTAATTTTATGTAATCCTACTCACATGTGAAAGTTTACTATGCCCCATGAAGTAGGGTACACCCTAGTGTTTGCTATACACTAACTAAATTTGTACATGGCACACAGTCGTATGGCAGAAATAGTTTTATAAGACACATTACTGCAGTAATATGCTGCTCTTTCAATTGGCTGCTTCTGTTGCAAACATCATCCCGGCCTCAGGAATGATCAGCTGGTTGAACACTGAACATGGGCATCACCAGTATCCTCGAGGCAAACACCGTCACACAGCGCGAATTGTGGTTGGTCGCGCCCTCCATATTAGTTGGGGCGGTTAGCAAATATAGGACATCACCGGGTTTACTTCTCAGCCCTATCAGTTCATTCCTAAACATCGTCACGAAACCATCACGCACCACTTAAGTCTGCACATTTCGACACACCTTTTATTTCCTATTTCGTACACTCGATCTCGTAGCTATCGTCGTATTGAGATGGCAGTGCTTGTTTTCACCTCGAATTGTATGCCATTACCACTACCATACTAAATGGCTCCGAGATAGCCCCAACAGCTCGAGTATCCGAGCCGGCTGAACCCCCTAGCCCCCTGGGGTTTCGCCTTGCGTCCCGCTCTTGAGAGAGCAAGTCGTTCGCGCATTAAATCGCCGCCAGACACGAGGCGGTGGAAGCGGTCATGGAGACTGTAGCAGTAGCAGCAGCAGCAGTAGAAGGCTGGAGGCTTGAGCACGACTTCATTTGGGTTGTGAGAAGGCGAGGAAACAGCCATTCGACCATTGAAGTCCGCCTGCGCGAAATGGAGGCAAGGGGAACACGCTTCAAATAGCTCTCGGTAGGAACATGCAAGGGCTCGTGTGTCAGGTTAGTATCAAATGCTGCTGAGGGTCGTTGTCCGTTAACTGGCGATTATATTTTGGAGCGCATACGAGACGGAGCATTTCAACGGGCGGAAAGACAAGGATACGACACAAAAGAAAAGTTGCCAAATGTGATCTAGTGAGAAAGCTTGACAAGCGGGCGCTACTTGCTTAGTCATAATATAAGCGCATTTAACATGACGTTTCTATATATAATACATTAATATGCGATCGTAAGGACACTGAAGTGGAACATTTGACTGAGTGTCCTGGTTCCGAAGCTGGCGGGTATGGAAAGCCGATCACGAAGAAGAACCCTTAACTTCCGCTCCTCATTCAAAGTCCGAATATTTTTTCGCGACTGTAGGTTCACTTTCTCAAAGTTATGATTTAATTTTGGTAGTCCTATAGTCTTGTATCCAGAACGATGAGATAATTGATATACCGTATTATTGAGATGGTGATCCATTCACGGTGGTCAGGCTGATTACCTTTCATCCGACAAAGCGCTTAGAGACCTGGATCAGCGTAGACCTAAATTGCTAGTTCGACAATAGGAACTTATTTAGACGATTCAATTTAACTTATTTGTCTATAACTAAATGACACCTCTCCGAAGCATTCTATACAGCGGTGACTGCCAATGATACAATACGAAACTGTAATTGATGAGGCCATTGCATAGTTCTTCTTTTTTTCGTGTAATTTTACTGGCCGCTGCTAATCCAAGCGGCTCGGCAGATCTCTCTCTATAGCATAATATAGCATACAATTGAAGCCTGGCGAAAAATTCTGTTTAATCGGGTTATATGGGGAAAAAAATCGAACGCCTACTAAAATGTATTATATGCTACAAGCTCATACATAATATTTCTAGATATATATATATATACACCAGATTAGACATCGTAGGTTTCTTACTATAAGTGATCTTTACTGACAATTTGCAACATAATGGCCAATCTTCAATAAATCGTACGCAAAACGGCTATCACATACCACAACAAATATAGGATCTCTGTTTGTCATATGGTAGACCTTCAATTGTGCTGGACCAACACACACGGTTCGTAGTCGCTTTATTTCGAATTTTTCGTCCGGTATCGCCGTTAGGCATTGTATCAGACGAGTGGCTGGCTCCCATCCATCACGAACGAAATGTACCGTGTGTGTCGACGCCCGGATTCGAACCTACACCACAACGCGTCCCTAAGATTAGCACACAAGTACGTTATTCGCTAAGCTATCGCAGAAACAGGGTTAGTGGCCTACCATAAGCCTACCGTATCCGACAAAAAAAAGTTGGGATTTCTATGTTTTCAGCTTGCTTGGTTTTTATTGTTGGGGATAAGTCGTGGGGAGACGATCGTTGTCACGATGGTACTAATTCCCGGATTCAATATCCCAGGCTATTATCAGCTCAATACGAAGCAATTTGTCAAACAGCTCCCATTCGAATCGGGTGTGCAAGCCAGCACTGAAAGCATCGGTAGTTAAGTTTACAATGTAAAGTCAAATAAATAAATGAATCTAGCTGACAGTAAAGGAAGTGGGAGAATATATTGAAAAAAAAATTAGCGAGACAATTAAACATGAAAAAAATTCTCCCTATAGGTTCCTCCGAGCTACAATAGATTACGTAGAAAAGAGGAGGGACTTTTGCTGACCGATATGCATAACAGCTGTTGCCCTAAAACTTTTCTAACTGTGAACTTTCTGTATAGGCGGCAAGGTACAGGTACAACTAACGAATAGTCGAAATATTTAGAAATTCTCCGAAGACAACGTTCACAAAAAAAAAGTAAGCTAGAATTTAGTTCAATTAACTCGTTCGGGATCGCTTTATGTCTTTCGTTGAAAACCAGATGAGATTCTCTCCCATGTCTTCATTTATGGGTCAAGTTCTTCATATACTCACTGTCGAACTCCTTTGCTAATATGTATTCCTCTTCTTTTGTATCTGTGCTGTCTGCGATTACTGCATGCAATTGCACGTAGTGATAGTTGTTAGGCCAACGGCTTTACCCAAATCAAACCTACATTTTACATGCATCCATGCGCATGATTCGAAATGCGTCTATTTGATGCACTTAGAACATACCGATAATAGCATCAACAATAGAGGTGTACCTTCTATGATACCGGATCAACTCAAACGAGACTTAATTGCATTAGGCCTATCGTCACGGTGTCCAGGTCTCAATTGGTTAACATTTGATTTCGGACAGATGATTCGTATCCATAGGGAGTGGTTGCACGGGTCCAGATATTCGATTCTGTATGAATCTTGTGTGTCGACAGGAAGAAAAGGCGGGCAAGTACAAGCAATCAGCTATGACTGCAGGTTTAACAAATATATATATACCTGGATTTGGCGAATATATTGGGTGGTGAGTTATCTACAAACAGTGTGGTTGTTATCGGTAGATGCTAAGGTCTCTTTGCCGTCGTGAAGGTATAGGTAAACCGTATCCTCTTACGCCTTTGGCTGAGTTCTGTTCGATTGCCACTTCAACTACGGCACTCTGTAGGCAAGAGAGTTACTAGCACGAACGTAGGACATAGCGGGATTGAGACAGCTTTTCAGACTCACACGTGCGCATTGATTTAAACATTGTCACGTTGCCTCCATTTGTATCAGGTCGCCCGTAGAATGGACGGAGCCTGTGCAGGTAAATAAATCCATTGAGAAGCGATGAGGCCATCCACTCGCTTTTAGACTGGTTTGTCCGCGCGAACCGTAATTCGACGAAAACACTGCCCTTAGCTGTCACGCAACATCAGGTCAAAATTGAGGACGCGAAAAAACGAAAAACGGGTGATACATACGGTCGGTGTCCAGAGGCCAATGGTCAAGGGCGCAGAGAACGTTTGTCAATACGACGGACACGATTCGTCCTCAAACGCCCAAGAAAATCAAGCAAGCTTTCTCGTTCACAAGTCTAACAAGTTCATGAATAGCTAATGGCCACCATAACGCCCTGCACAATATCACGATACTATGACACGTTTAAGATGATGTAATATCTGTTGAATTGATTCAGCGAATAGAAGCCATGGATTCAGTTATACTAACAACAGA